TCTGTCGAATAAACTCGATTCAAAATTAGAAGGAAAAAAAGCTAAATTTTTCGTAATTTTTTTGTTTGTTTGTTTTAAGAACATAGTACATACTACTATAATTCTTATGTAAAACAGTAAAAAAAATATATGGTTTGTATGATATACGATAATTAATGTGCGCGGGTGTAGAAAAAGAACAGAGGATTAAAACCCAGAAATTGGCGTTTTATGCGGCCATTTAAAAGAACTCTTTGAAGCATTTTTCAGCACACTTCCTTTCACCCCAAAAAAAAAAATCTTAGAGAGAGTAATATTATGAGCTACAATCCCAGAAACAACCAAATCCTCCGATCACGGTGCTAGATAGATATTTTTTTTCTCAACGGAAACTTGCAATGGAGAGCACCGATTCTTCCGGTGGTCCACCACCGCAGCCTAATCTTCCGCCTGGTTTCCGGTTTCATCCAACCGACGAAGAACTCGTCGTTCACTACCTCAAACGCAAAGCCGCCTCCGCTCCTTTACCCGTCGCCATCATCGCCGATGTCGATCTCTACAAATTCGATCCTTGGGAACTTCCCGGTACGTTAATCCGATCAATTCATCATCATCATCTGTGACGTATGATCTAACTGTTTTTTTGAATTTCGGTTTTGCTTGGATTTTGTAACAGCTAAGGCTTCGTTTGGAGAGCAGGAATGGTATTTCTTCAGTCCTCGAGATCGGAAATATCCAAACGGAGCGAGACCAAACAGAGCGGCGACTTCTGGTTATTGGAAAGCGACGGGGACTGATAAACCGGTGCTTGCATCTGAAGGTAATCAGAAAGTAGGCGTGAAGAAAGCACTCGTCTTCTACAGTGGTAAACCTCCAAAAGGAATTAAAAGCGATTGGATCATGCATGAGTATCGCCTCATCGATAACAAACCAAATAACAGACCTCCTGGTTGTGATTTCGGCAACAAGAAAAACTCTCTTCGGGTAACATAATTGATGATGATTTTAATACTCTTTTGTGATTTTCTTTGATTTTTTTGTTTGGATCTGTACTGTGTGTTTATGTAGCTTGATGATTGGGTGCTTTGTCGAATCTATAAGAAGAACAATTCAGGAAGACATGTGGATAACGATAAGGATCACGATATGATCGATTACATCTTCAGGAAAATCCCACCGTCGTCGTTCGCTGCTGCTACTACCGGAATCCACCACCACAGCAATAATGTCTCAAGAGCATCGATGAATTTCTTCCCGGGGAAATTCTCCGGTGGTGGTTACGGGGTTTTCTCAGACGGTGATCAAGGTTTGTACGACGGAGGAGGAGGTATGATCGGAACAAACTCGATGAATCATCATCATCACAACAATAACGACACTACTGACGTCACCGGGGCTTCTTCCTCCTCTGAGCCGATGATGATGGCCAATCTGAAACGAGCTCTTCCGGTTACGTATTGGCCGGTAAATGAAGAGGAGCATGATTTATCTCCGAGCAAACGGTTTCACGGAGGAGAGTGTTCGAATATGTCTTCTTCGATGATGGAGGAGAATCCACCATTGATGCAACAACAAGGTGGTGGTGGTGGTGTGTTAGGAGATGGGTTATTCAGAACGACGTCGTATCAGTTACCTGGGTTAAACTGGTACTCTTCTTAATTGTTCTGTGTGTTCGTCTCCGGTGTGAAAAATTTGTGAAGAAATTTCTGATTACGATTTTTCCGATTGGTGGGGCCCCGATCATTTGAAGTAATATAATTTGAGGTTTGTGTATATGTTTGAAAATTTGGTCATAGGGGTTTAGAGGAAGAGAAGAGAGGCAAAATATAGAACACCATAGGATTTTTAAAACAAATATATATACTGTTTCTTAATTTTAAAATGTATAAATTATATATACTTTAGATGTTTATATATTGATTGTATTAGATAGATGCATATAAACTTCTTGTAAAGGAAGTGAATAAAGAAAAATGAAAAAAAATGTTGTAATAACTCTGTATTTTCTTCACATATTGTATGCATGCTCTATATAAGTGAAAGTTTGAGAATGAGATGTGGCTTATGAAATTACGGAGGGTGGATTTTATAAAAAATTTGATGATAATTATATAGTGGTATCAATATTCCAAAGCCTAAAGGATGTGTACATACAAAACAAAAGTCATCAGTGAATTCCTGGTTTGAATTTTTAAATTAAGGTATTTTAATTGGATATGGCAAAATCATTTTTTCTTTATTTTTCAAGAGCTTTTTATGATAATTATTTGATTAAAAAAAAACTAGTTATTACCCTGGTTGATTATAGAGATGTCACTCTTATGCCCATGACTTGCTTTATTTCTAACTTCTTCTGAAAAAGACTGGTTAGTGTATTTTTAATAGC